TATAGTCTTCATTAGGAAAGCTGGAAGACATTATTTGTGTTATTGATTGTGGCTTTTTAAAATTGTGTTATGAAGAAATGAAGAAATGTGGAAACTTATATAGAACGGATTTCCGTCGGAAATCCGTCGGAAATCTGTCAAAAACCTCCGACATAACACCCCACCAATCCCATCGGCCACCGCTAACGAAATGGTGACCACTCAAATTTGCCGACATCGGATTTCCGACGGAATTAGTTCCGTCGGTATGAGCTGACCAATCAAACTTTGNCNACATCGGAAAAATCGGATTTCCGTCGTTATTCCGTCGGAAAGTCGTCGGAAAAATACGATAGCTTATTTCCGTCGGAAATCCGTCGGGACAAGACGACGGATTTCCGACGGAATACCGACGGTGTCCGTGTCCGTCGGAAATCCATCAAAATAAACCGACGGATTTCCGATGGATTCATTTTACTCGGAAATCCGTCGGAAATTTCCGACGGAAATTACGTCCGTCGGAAATTCCGTCGGAATACTGCTTGTTTTCTGGTAGTGTATGTGTTACATTCTTTTTGTTCTCCTATAGGGTCTTTATTCGTCTTGTTTCCCGCTGTGCTGTGTGTAGCCTCATTCATCATTTCAGTCTCTAATGCATTCCATGTGGTTGAATATTGTGTATTATGATTTATGAATCTCTCAGGCTCGTCGTTGGAGAATGCATAAGTTTCGCCCAGTATTCAGGCACCGTCAATCTTCTATTACTGCTATCCAGTGTTGTTGTCGGCAAACGTTTGCAAAGAGAGAATTTAGAAAACTTAAACAGGTATGTTTTAGTCATGGTCTACAGCAGGATTATATCAATTCACTGAGGAATCAACATATCACTCAACGTAACATATGAACATGCGCATCGATGTCTTGCAGGCCGGGGCTAATGAAGCAGGTCATCGAGATTAGCTAAAACTAAACTTGAGAAACGGTTAGAAGATTTTGAATGGCGGTTGCAGATTGAGGAACATTTGCGAGAGTATGTTGCCAATTTTTGCATCTTTTATTGGACCCAGAAGCGGAAGTAACAAATGACAGCTTAAGATCAGCGGTAAGAAATATGTTGATTGAATATCTGTTTGAGTGCAGTGATATGGAGGTTATTCCAAAATCTTTAATGAAAGCTCTTTCACTGGTCAACACACGGAATGTAGATCATAAGGTATTTCCAAGGGAAGCAGTTGAGCAAGAGACGAAGTGTATATTAAATGTGAGTGCTCAAGTGAAGGAAATATTTTGGCAATATATTCCAGATAATGATGCTTACATGGAAGACAGTGATGATGATGATGGTGAGAATTGTAGTTTATTTGATAACGAGGAATTTGTTAATAGAGATAGTAGACTCCAAAACATAAAGCTTCAAGCCACATAGAGGTTCTAGAGTGCAACCGGTTGAACCATCCATCGTCCAGAGAGACTATGTCCATTATTGGAGATGTCGTAAATGCTAAACCGATCGTC